TCGTGTTTAGCCAAAGAAACGTTCTTCGGTAGTTGAGTTTATCTCGTTAAAAGTCTTATACAACTAATATTTCCAGTCCACGACTGAGGACGATTCCTGCAAAGAAAAATGCAGAAAGAAGGCTGAAAACATTTTGTCAGGAGAGCTGTTTCTGACGCAGGCATGTTTGGAGGAGGTTTGTGGAAAAAATCCTTGTTTTTCTTAGCTTCTTTCCATGGCTGGTTCAAACTTGATGAACGTATATTCTTAGGAGAACCCCAAATCGTACTCGGCTTGGTTCCATCGTGGTTGGACCTTGCACCGACAAGAGCATCCGGATATCAAGCGTGAGCTAGCGCTTTGTGAGAAGGCGCTTAAGTTGGATTGCAGGTACTCTTTTCAATGTAAAGACATTTCGTAAATTTCAAGTAAGTTTTTCAGAAATTTTCACGTATGGGATCACCGACGCGTTGTTGCAAAGCTAGGTAATCTTGGAGAAGAGGAGGAGCTCGAGTAATTATTTCATTATTTTCAGTTCTGGGTTGTTTTAAGCACTTTAGTTCTGTACTATTTCAGGTTTTCGAACCGTCTCATCGGTCAGAACTTCTCTAATTATTCCGCATGGCATTACCGGGCTGTACTACTCCCAAAGATTCAGAACAGTAAGACTGGCGAATTTCGGCTCGACGATTCTGTGATTGCTAGTGAATTGAAGGTAATGTGCAGTCTTGCTACATCGAGCTTATTGTTAGCTAGACCTCTCCTATGGTCATCAATCTGACTTTGGAAAAGCATAGTCGGGAAAGTTTTTCCCTCCTTAGCCTCTCCCCTGTCGTCCTCTCCGATAGAGCAAAGTATGCATGGGACGCGTGGATATCAGTTTATCTCAGAAATAGTTACACTACACACTGGCGCCGCCACCGAACAAGGGCCGACAAGTGGGCGAAGCCAGACAGCCAACAGTCATCCATTTTAGAGTGGGCAGTGAGCAGGACCTCGTAGACAGGCGGTTGTCAGCGGTATCATTAAAAGAAGATCTGAGGCGTGGTCAAACGCCCTCTCGCAACCCTTGCACCCTTGCTGTCAACAAACGCCCCCCAGCAATCGTGCCCACTGCCTTTAACGACTCAATGCAACCCTCCCCCCAATGTAAATTCCAAAACCATGATATTTCGACGAGCTTACATGCTCCTGCATGCCTATTTGTACTGTTTTATTCTTGTAGAAAGTGACGTCCGCCTTCTTTACCGATCCTGACGATCAAAGCGCATGGGTATATAGTCGGTGGCTCCTCGAAATGGGCTCAGAAAAAGAGTTTTGTGAGTTTTCCATCCTTTGTTCTCTTTGCTGCTCCCATAACCCGCCTGTAAGACGTCTTGAACCTTGTCGATCATTTTCAGTGAAGCCAGACTCAGCTTCTCCAGCTGCTCCGCTGTCTGTATCCTTTCACGGCAATAACACAACCTTTGTCATGTCAAAGGCATGCACCTTCGATGAACTACTACCGTTTGTGGCGTCATATTCAGAAGCATCTTGGCGAGGGGTCAGTTAATTTTGAGTACTGCTCATTGAGCTGTGGCTCATAAGAAGACGCTATTGCTGCATTATCCACCACTTCATCATCTAAACTTGTCTGAGGAAGCGATCTAGGTTTATATGAAGCCTAATAGGCTTAGGGGTGAAAGGTAACCATTTCCCTTCCAGATTTCCGCGTTCTCTACACAGCCAGCGTCGGCGAGAATCTGGCAGTGTATGTCCGATGTGCCGTGTACTGTGCGTCTCAACGTCGATGAAGAGAAAGTAGTAGATGTCTCGGAAAAGCCATATGTCAACAAGGTCAGTCCTGTGATACTCGCGAAAGTAGTGGACGCGACTCGAGTAGTACCAGATTTAACTGATAGATGCTTCCACAAGACCTTTTAGGCGCTTGCTTTGTGAGCCAGATGACCTCCTCGCTTATGCTTAATTTTGCAATTTCTACATTAACAATTTTCTGCATTAATGCTTTCATCTCCGAAATCGTTGCTTTTAAGGAACTTCTCCGGAGGGCGTTTGACTTGACGATTCGCAAACCGAATGTTGCCATAACGACCATAACGGACAACTGCAAGCAACTGATGGAAATGGAGCCTAAAAACATGGTAAGGCAGAGTTCATGCTCCGCAATGATGCGTATCGACGCCCTATCATTGCAGTAGCGCTCCAATGCTGTAGAGAGAGCGCAACGATAGACGGGTCGACCGGCGCCGGCCACTAGTGTTTTGTGAAGGTGTAGGAGAACCGGTCTGATGTCCTCCTATATTTCTGTATTCTCGAAAAGCGTAGCAGCCAGCGCCAGTTGACCACCTGCAATACCATCTTTATTACTGCTATGGTAACCCACGCATCGTTGCGAAGTCTGAACGCTGCCAAAGTTTGACTTTTAATTGTCCGACTATACGGAGGGGGGCAATAAAAAAGTAATTTTTTCCTTGACTTTCGAGGCGCTATAAGTTACACTTTATAAATTCTGATCGGACATTTCCACCACCATATTAAAGAGCATATTAAATACTATCATGACACTCCGCCACAGCCTTCTGGACGAGCGCCATCGAGAGATTCTGCCACGCGACCGTGAGTGGGTACCTGAGTTCAGCGAGATCGTTGATTTCTCCGCCACTGTAGACCACCCTATTGAACTCCGCCCGAACCGGGTAATTGAGGGAGTTTCAGGTGACCTACTTGGATATTCCATCTCCTTTAGGTACTCAACGCCCTTCCATTCCAAGTAGGCGAGAGTTTTTCCAACGCCCTCCGATTCCATGTGGTGGCACCCAATGCTGTAGCAGTACAAAGTTTCCAAGAAGGTACGGGCGACGACATGTGGGGAGGATATTCTTCTCGAGTTGCTCGATGTAACCGCCAGCGCTCACCTTCAGTCGGGGTCTACAAAGAAAATATCGGTCTTCCCATTCCAGGTACGTCCGGTCCACACCATCAACCCGCGCCTTGGCGACTGCGGTGAAGATGATGTCCTAGACCGTAGCGACGTTGTCGGAGCTGCTCGATGTTGGAGGTCTTCCAGATCGAGAGTACTGGTCTCCAGGTAGCTATCCATGGGTGACTCCACACTAGAAGTTTCGCAGCTGTTTGGAGGTGACATGAATTCCAAAGGTCTTCTCCAGTCAGGCTGCGACTGGAGATGACTTCATATTTTGGTGTACATGAAGGTGATGGGCGAGAGCCAGCTCCTGCTTATCGAGGAACATCTTGGGTATCTTCCGCCCTGGTACTCGTATCCACGTCCTCTGTCTGGGCAGCGAAAACTTTGCTGATATGTGACTCGGTCGAAGTGACTTTTTTTAATTGGTCCCCCTCCCCCCTATATATTGAGCCTTCAGTTGTTGAACAGCATAGTCTCCAAACTTTTAGACTTGCGAGCTGTCGGTCGGGAGGTCATGGTGCGGAGTTACCACAAACAAGTCGATGTTACTCAGCTAATTCAGACATACCGAGGCACTTTTATTTTGGATAAGTTTCGCCCTGGTGCGAATATCGCGCGCGTGACACCACTGCAGTGCCGTTTTTGCCGTGTCGCTGCAACTTGAATCTCCTGGCCAACTTCATGTGCATCTTACATGTTACTCACCACCTAACTTCAACGGCTCCAAGTTTCGGTCATATCAAAAATACGACCTTTTTATTATTTGTTTTTTTTTGTTGTAGTTGCTCTGATATAATATATTTTTAGTGGGCTCGCTATATGTACACCTTATGCCTAATGGAAACTCGCCCAGCGGAGTGTCATACAGAGATTTTGGAAAATTTAGGGAAATTGGCCACTGAACTTGATGAGAAAAGAAAAGAGGTATTCCGAAGTAGTGCTCGATTCTTGGTGAACTATAATTTTCTTCCATTCAGATATACAAAAAATTGGCTTCGCGTCAAATATTGAACCGAATTCTTCGAGAAGAAGTTGACGGTTGTCCACTTCTTGAGCTGCTTATGGATGGCAAGCAGAGTGATCTGGCGATTCGAAACGCTCAAATATCGAGGTTGGTGTAGAAGCAGCTTCTTTGGTTCACTCCACTAGGGCAGGGGGCTTTTGAAGACTCATCGCGTAACTGAGAATACTGTAATGCGAGGAAACTTTCCCGTAGGGGGGAGGGGGTTGATTCATTATTCCAGAGCTCAGTTTTCCCTCATGGGTTTAAACACACTGGATGGACACTCTCCTCCGAGGACCTTGGCATGGCGAGGTCCTTGCCATGTGCGAGGTTAATGGATTCACAGTTGCAGTAGAGTGCCGTTTCTCCGCTCAAAAGTGCTCGAGGAACGGGGCTGGAGGGGTATGTTACTCGAGAGGCATTTCCCCATCTGCCGACGCAATCCTCAGGTTGGCACCTGCTTCGATGTCAAAGATCTCGCAGCAAGTCAGAGGTAGAAACAATCAGAAGTGAGAAAGCGCAGACAGTTAACGCGTTTGGCTATGGTTGGGCGTGTGGGCTGCGGGGAGGGAATATGGAGACCACATTCGTATATCGCTAATCTGCAGCCTTCTTCCCGTCCACTTCTGACAGGAGAAAGTGGCATGTCACTGCTGCGGATATAATCTCCACACAAATTGCTTGGAGTGGGGTGCACAGAGGTGAATGCACGGTTTGTCTTTGAATGCCTCATCCTACTGGGGTGACAATGCCTTCATCTACTGGGATTAACGCAGTTGAATAGTTTCAAAACAAGCTGGGTCGATGATTATAAAAGTTAAAAGGGGCCTTCCGATACGGAGATTTTCCAGCTTGGATGGAAAGGGGGGGGGGTGGGCAATTCTGGCAGGTTTAGTAACCCATCTGGACGTCAGCGGCAATCAGCTGTCAAGTCTCGATGAAGTGTTATTGCCAAATCTTGAGTATCTCACAGCCAACGAAAATCCCATCAAGAGGTTAGTCTAGTCATCTGTTTCGTTTTGTTATTTTTTCTGATCTAGAGCAAGGGGCAGGCGTGAAAAAGTCACTACACGCACGCTCTATGTAAAGTTCATGGTCGCGCCAGACAAAGCGTGATGAAAGGAGCAACGTGAAATCATCACTGATGTGCTTCTCTGTGACCAGAAGAAAGCTCTCTGACCAGAAGAAAGCTCTCCAACACTGCTTTAGCCGATCACGAGAAGAATGGAGTGATATGATGTACCGCACGATAGAACGCAGATAGTTTTGCGAGAAGGCCTTCGATATTTGCTTCAGCCTGAAAGCTTTCTCTCGCATGCACTTTCTGGAGACCTTCGCTCCGGGGACGCTGCCGTATTTGCTAAAGAATCGAACATCGGCTAGGCCAGAGACGCCATGCAATTACCGTAGGACCAGAGCGGTTACCGACTGAATCCGCTGAACACTAGAAGGAAAACCTTTCGCTAGTCAGACTTCCTCACGAAATCTCTGCACGAATGGAACTGCAGTTAGTACCTCACCCCTGCCTCCCCAGCCTTTCATGAAAAAAGAATCAGCCCAAGTTACGAGTTAATAAGAGTGTGTTTATACTTTGCGACAGTGTTTAAGCGTTTTGAAGGACTGGGAAAGTAAAGATATCGATCCAGCATCTCGAGCGTTCGCTGGTATGGATCAATACTTATATTTTCCTGGTCGCTCAGAAAGCTCGAAACGTTGGCGTACGCCTAAAGACAGCTCCCGCGATAAAAGTCTCATGGATAGCTGCTTTCCAATTATGAAACAGCAGCTGATAAGTAATCTCCCAAAGAAGAAAACAGGCAAGAAGCGTTCTCCAGAACAACATAAACAAAATCGCTCCCTCACAGTTACACCTCCCTGCGGTCTCTGTGCAGCCCCTAGCTCACAAATCTCTCTATCACATCTCGCAGTAGTTGATATCATCCAGTGCAAAAGAAAGAATACAAAAAGAAAACAACAAAAACGCAGAGGAAAAACTCTGGGAAGGAAAAGGAATTTTATCAACACGGTGTCTGAATTTGTGATTACGGTAGCGCACCTTTTGTGCGTCGTGGTTTTGCATCACGAAAATTGCGTCACTCGTGTTTTTACGCGTTTCACCTCGCGAAATGGGTTGAATTGAATGTATATACCTCCAATGAGTAAACTGTAATGAAGGAGAGCAGAATTATCCAGGGGCATTAGCAATGCCCGCCGCCCCAACTAAGAACAAGTGAGTGGCCTCCGTCGGAGGACATCTAGCAAGTAAAGGCGGTCCGACTGAGGAGGAGTTAGAACTAGCACTTTGAGCGGCTATAGCAGCCTCCACGCTCACAATAGAGTCGCGAAAGGTGAACAGTCTTCTAGCTTGGAGGCTAGACTACTTGCACAGCAAAGGCGACCACGAGCCACTTTGATCGCGGGGGCTGTCTTTAAAAGGCTGCTGTGCGCTCTCAAACGGTGGCCTAAAGTATGAACGCACTCCAAGGAAGCATCAAACTGGGATATTACATCGTTTTGAATGACTATTCAGACTATCCGCCACTTCCACTTTGTGCAACCTGAAATTCCTTTCGCTAGGCGCTTGTCAGCTGGATGAAGCAGAATGTGTTTTGCCTGCTCTGAGGGGCATGTGTTCGTTGGAAAGATTCCTCTACTGCGAGAATCCTCTAGTCGAAAAGACTAAGGAATTGCAAGAGGAACTGCCATCAATTAGGTTGATCCCTTACTATCTGTGATTACCTGACTTTCCTAATACTATGCATATCTGTATTTGTGTCATTTTCTCTTTACATAATCACAAAAGTTCTATATAAGGATTCGCTGTATGTTGGGGCGTGCCATGAGGAGAGGATGGCGCAGAACTACCCTGTGGTTGTCTACTAATGTGGGTCGCTTGCCCCGCTTCACAATTGATGGTGGGGGGGGCAGGGAGAACGTGCTAAGTGACGTGTCAAACCCCCCCCCCCTCCCCCCCCACACGCCTTCAGCGCTGCAGCAAAAACGACTGCGGATCTTTCTCTATCATACTTCTAACCTGCTAACCCAGTTTTATCTCTGGACATTGCCTCATATTGTGATCAAAATTGTCGTGACATACATTTTTTAATAAAAGCTTTATTGCACGTTTTACTGCACGTTATTAGAATACCCGTTTCGAATGATTTACAAAAGTACAGTATGAACATGATGCAGAGTTGGTCTCTAAACCCGGAATATGTGTGAAGGAAAGACGAGATCGGAAATCACAAAGCAAATTCTGTCAGCCTTACCAAAGTGCACCTTAAGTACTAGAAGTGAGGTCGGCTTCAATAGTCTGCTCTAAGGAGAGGAAAGACACGTTCCACAATAATCGAATGGGCCATTCTGCCCTTCTCATTAGTGTATCCTTCTCTTCGAATCGGGCGCACCAATGAGAAAAAAGCGCAGTGGTCATGAGTCTCCGCCCATCCATCCATCGTGAACGGTCTTCAACAAAAGTACTCCTTTCCACCAACTGGTACCCCATTCACCAACGGTTCTTCACTTCGTGACGGACTGTATTCACCTTCGTTCGTTTTGTACACGCCTTCTGGACGAGATCTCATGTAGCACACAAGAATCGCGAGCAGCAACGCCAACAGGCCGGCCACCGCCAAATCCGATAATCGCTGAAATGTTTAGAATATTGAGGCTAAGTTTTCGCAAGAATGCCGAGTTATCGGCAGAAGTCTTGATCCCAGGCGGGATTCGTACGCACCTAAAGCTTTCAGGATGCTATCCTTCGCGCCACCAACATGGTTTTTACCCATTATCACTACCGGGGCCACTCTTACCCCCTCAGCTCCATGGCTCAGAAACTCGCTCTCACATTACCAACAGGGCTGGGAAGGGAAGAAAGGACCTAGTGATGAGGTAATGGGTATGAGCGGCTCTGGCGTAACGGATAAGGGGATCGCCCGCAAAGGCGTGAGGTGCAGGATCTTGAGTCCCACCTGGCCTTGTCAAAAACTATTCGCCTCACAGCATTCTTGTGACACAGTTCGGGGTGGGAACTTGCGCCCTTAAACGTTCAGTCATAACAATAAAATGAGGCAACGCTTTCGCGACGCTGCTCCTAACGTTTTGAATCGAGTGAGCGTAAAAATTGAAAAAAAAACAGCAACTTTCAAGCTCACAAGGGGACCGGAGGATGATGTAGATGTTTGGACGTGAGCTATGGCAACCTCAGTCCCGTGGGATATGAAATGCCTTCGGTCGTTGGTTCTTGTTGAAGGTTGCCGTGTATCACTGCAAATTATTTTTTGGAAATAAAAAAAATACAAAACACCTTTCGAGCTTATTCCGAAAGCGAAATCTTTTCAGGCTGAATCTACTGAAAATGTCCCGAGGTAAAAGGGGCGTAAAGGGAAGAGTGATGATAAGGTAAAGATAGAGTAATGCCGGCAATGAATCCACATATGCGTCACAGTAATGTGGATCTCACTGCCGAACCTTTTTCAATTCATGAACTCACATGATGTCCATTAGAACAACTTCCAAAACGAATTCTCCCGGAGTGTTTCAAACGAGCTGCTTTGGGATTTTTGAGTGGAAATGACGATCCCACCCGCATCCGTGACACACAACCAGTGTAATCTGCAATGGCGTTATTGAGACCAGCAAAACTCGAAAGAACTCAACCTACTTTTGTCCATGAATGTCCAAACGTTGAAGTTCTGGAAGAATCGTGCCATTCTTCGAAGTGGTATTGATCGGTCTTCCATCAATTCTAAAGACTTAATGTTAAGAAAAAATGACAACACTAGTGACGAGCAACAATCTGCGAAACTTTTATTTTCAGGCAATACCTGTAGGGCCAGAGGACGTTCATTACGAACCGAGGCAGTTTTCCGAAGCTGGTTGGAGACTATTACAAGGTGGATGCAACCCTGATTGCGGGCACACGACGAAATTGCGGTATTGCCGAGCGTATGACACATTCGCGACACTCGCACCAAGCCCTATTTATTCAGAGAGGGAATGCTGCTGTTTGTTGAGTCACTAACAAGGAAATGTCGCTGCTTTTCGATTGCCTTCAATGATGTTCACCTCTTTCACAGCGGCCGAACCCCCCCCCCCCCCCCCCCCCCCCCCCCCCCCCCCCCTAACCACAGTATTGTGGATTTTCTTTGCTTGGGCGAAACGTAGACCTCCTGAACCATTCCCGCCTCCTGTTGGCCGCAATGGTATTAATGTTTTTGATTTTTCACGCTCAAAATCAATTACATATTAGCTCGCTAGTGTAGTAATGGGAGAAGAGCATTGTCGTAACGGAGCTTAAGTCTTTTCAAAAGGTGTAACATCAAACTTAAAAATTATAAATTCGTTTTGATTTGCACATTGATTCTCAATGAGGTACAGTAATTACTGTGAATTTCCGCAACTTACCGTTAGGTTAAAGCTTGTGTCCGATGCACAGAAGGCTATGTCATGCATGATATTATCGCTGAGATTCCATCGTTTCTCGGAATCTTATAGTGATGAAGAAAAAGCCCGTCATAGACCGACAACGTTAGGTTGTCCTAAAAGGATTGTGTCAACAAAAATGTTTAGCAGTGAAAAACAGTTGCATGTCTTGAAAAGAGCCAGCAGCAAGGGGCGTGGCTGCTACAACAGAGAGCGAACGGCGAGGATTCAGATGAAAGAGCGAGACATCCCCTTTTTGCTTTCCGATATGGACGATAGTCAAAGTGAGCCGAAGTAAATCAAACCTTGCGGAGTGATGGACATGTTGAAGGTTGACTCAGCAAAGGAGCTCTTCGATTTGACCAGCGAGACGTTGGTGACGCTGGTCTGGATGGCAATCTGATGGCAGTTATTAGTATGAGCTGGATTCTGCCACGGAATCTGCAGGAAGGAACCAGCCGGAACGAACATGCTGTATTCTGAAAATTATGGTTACTCACATTACGGTTGTCTCACATTCCTTATCCCTGAGACGGAGTAGGCGTGGCTTTTTGAGACATATCATTTAGGACGGGCTTACACGTGGGATACTTCAATTTGAAACAATTGCTATCTTGTTCTGCATTAGATGTAGACATGATTACAACTGCTCCAAAATGAAAATATCTCACGAAAACCTGGGCGTTATCATTTTTAAAACTTAAAGGCACATTCCGCGATAAAATAAGGCTATGACCTCTCAAATGTGTCGGACGATCCGGAAGGCGATTTTTGAGGCTGCGCTACTTTCAAAATGTGAAAAACGGCAAGAACTCCGCTAGAAGCTGACTAATTAGGCCCATGGACACCCCTTAGGCCCATGCCGACCCTCACCGGCTGCTAGCTACTAGCTAGTAGCCACTATGTTATCTTTCTCTATAACATTTCGGACTGCTTTTTCTGCTGCTTTTCTCCGCTAATCAGATACTTAGCACTTAAGCCTATTTGAGTTCCGTTTCCCGCAATTTGCGGTCGCGAACTGTGCCTTTTAAGTAGGCAGCACGCTTAACGCTCTCAGATTTTCGAGTTTTATTTATTTGTGGCTGCTGTTACAGTGGGACAGAGGTGCTGTAGGTGGGGTCAAATATCGGATCGGCGCCCGCCCAGACCCGACCGAGCCATCTTCACGTTCTTCCCAAAACTAGGAATACCCCTGAATGAGCAAAATTCTCTATCAACGTCCGCAATTCATTACCAAACCCTCTCACAAGTTGTCAGTCATTGAACCAAAAACTTTCAAGTCAGCAAAAGTTAAAGGCACATTCCGCGAAAAAATAAGGCTATGACCTCTCAAATGTGTCGGACGGTCCGGAAGGCGATTTTTGAGGCTGCGCTACTTTCAAAATGTGAAAAACGGCAAGAACTCCGCTAGAAGCTGACTAATTAGGCCCATGGACACCCCTTAGGCCCATGCCGACCCTCACCGGCTGCTAGCTACTAGCTAGTAGCCACTATGTTATCTTTCTCTATAACATTTCGGACTGCTTTTTCTGCTGCTTTTCTCCGCTAATCAGATACTTAGCACTTTTTTGTGCCTATTTGAGTTCCGTTTCCCGCAATTTGCGGTCGCGAACGGCTCGCCTTGTAAGTCTTCATGAGCCAACGCTGACTTGTGACCACTCTTTTTGGAATGGCGATGGCCTATCGTTGTACTCTCTAGTCATTTAACTTCACAACTTTCGAATGATGGGGCATGTGCATCTGGGACAAGAACACCTTTTTCAACTACAGTCAACTTACCTTTATTACAGTCACTGCCTCCAAATGGAGTTTGTGTGCAGTCACAGGTGTAGCCATCGTATTTATCAACGCAAACACCTCCATTCTTGCACAGACCCACACGGCAGTATCCCTCTTCGCCAATATGAACACCTAAATATTATATTAGCGTAGATGAACAAAAGGTTTCTTCATGAAATTATCCGGCTTCATGTACCCCTGGTACATCTCCACTATCCCTGAACACACTGGGCATCATGCCAAGTCCTCCCTCAAATCCTCACGCCCACTGGAATTCCCTTATGTGGTTTCTGTTCGCGCTAAATTTTTGACAAGCTTTGCCTTCTTTCACACATATAGCGTTGTCACTAAAGGCTGTCGAGGCGTGTCTGCGAGACAAGGGTTTGGCGCGGCTACTCTCCCATCACTCACTGAACGCTCGGAGCCGCAGCGATCAGCGAAAAACGGGCTAGTGCGGCGCCAAAGTTCACGCTCCACTGACACGCCCCACCTGACTTCAGTCAAAGGACTTATGGACTGTTAGAGTTGGACTTTTATACTGACTGCGAATGAATGATCCAGATAGTCTTTACTGACACCCCTGTGTTCCCACTTTTCGAAAAAATCGCTGGAAATTTTATTATTGTCTATCAACTATTAGACTCGTGATCCCCTGGACGCATTCCTTCACGTCACAATATCATAATCTATTGAAGGCTACATTTGAAGCTCTGGCACTGCGAAATCAATTTTGAGAAGCCCCCATTCCAAGACATTACCGAAGGGGAATTGAGAAAAAAGAAACCTTTATCATAGTCTTTTCTGACAATCGAGCTCAACGTCAGCTCTTCTCCACATAGATGGACACTTCGTATAACGCCAGCAAAACCCGATGATCCACGTTCTGTTCGTGAACCTGAAATGAATGGTAAATGATAAGGGTAGCGGTAGCACAGTTTTGGGCGATCTTCCACAATATCAGTTCAGCGCGTATTTCTAGAATCTAATACAAGTGGGGTAGAACAATGGCCTCGACAATCGATCTATTGAAAGGAACCACACGAAGGAAGAGGGAGAAGAGCTAAGAGTGGTATTACTGAGAGATGATATCACAATCTTTGTTCGCTGTGAGGCGGGGTGATGTCGGCAGGTGGCTCTTTAGAGCGTCGGCCTGTTCTTCCACCAGTTGATGAACAGGACAGGCGACAATAATGGTGGAGAACGGACTTGCATGCCGGCTTCAAACCTAGCACCTGACAGCTCCCCAGCCATCCATAGGCGAAAGCCGTTATTAGAGATTCCTCCGCTTTTTATTAAGGTCATAAACTGAAGCCCACTAAGTTTCCTAGTTGGCTCGGAAGCTTCCGACTGGACATTGGAACCCCAAGGCCGACTAAGTCCTTCTTATTTCTCCCTTGTCACTCAATGACGCCATACTTAGAAGATAAAAAGAACGGGCGCTGTGGTAGAGATTCCACAAGCTAACGTACAGCCAATTGGCAAAACCGATTTTGGCGCAGGTCCGCTTAGTAAAGGCACTGTACAGGCCATCTTGGAAAAACCTGTGAAGTCCTATAACTGAAGTGTCCCACTCGCAATCTTCCGCAGCCCTACATGAGTTTACAGGGCAAAAGAGAACTGTTATACCTAACGTGCACTAACAGAAGCCAAAGCGCAAAATGTCCCCTCCAAACCGACCAGTCCCAAGTTTCATATCGATTCTGAGAGGAAATGAAATCGTGACGTACAACAGGAAGGTTTTCTTCCGCTGGCCACCACTTTTCATTCTAGCCACCACTTTTTATTCTAGTAATCTTTAGGTCTCGCAAACTATTTGTGAAGCGCCTTGAATAGCTAACCTATTGTCCACTGATGAGCGTTGGGCAATATGAGTGTAGCATTAGTTTCGGATGTCCTGCCATCGACTCGCAGCCTCATTCCATGAGTGTCCGCCTCCCAGTAGATCGTATGCCATCGTCCGTCGTTGTAGATGGAATCGGTAACTACTTGGGCTGTTTCGCCTCCATTCACTATTTCACCCACAATTTTACCATCTGAAATAAAAATTGCGATCATGAGTTAGTTAGACTGTTTAGGTTACAGTTCCAGCCGATCGTGTGGGCGGAGACACCCAACCAAAGCAAGTTCCTCATTGGTGCGCGTGCGCTCCTTTCCTAACATGACAAAAGAAAGGATAAAGGAAATAGATGAAAAAGGCAACGTGACTGGCTGTCTCCATTCACAAAATCAGAGTGGAATGCTCCTTTTGAAAAATACAGAAAACGATTTACTGATGTGATTTTGCGAGCTCCTACCTTGAATGTAGAGGTGGAGCCAGTGGAGCGAGTCGGCACTTTCCCAAGTGAACAAACTCATGTGAAGATGACTGAATTTGGCTTGAAGCATAAGGTCGAAAGTTCTGGACGTCAGCGATCGGATGCCACTTATACGAGCGTTTCTGTCCGAGAACGTCACCGATTCAAACGAGACTGAAAGAGAATGGCTGAAGGAAAATACCCTCAAAGACTGTAGTATAAAGGCAAAGTAGTAAACGCTAGTCATATTAGGGGGGTCAGGCGTGCCGTTGATTTCCATTGGGGACGAAGGGCCCATTAGTCGAGGAAGCTTAAGCATACGCTTGAGTCGCCCATATTAATTCAGCGTGGACTGTGCATTCAATTCGCTTAGCCGTTCATTTATTAGCACAGAAAAACTGGATGAGCGCATGTGAAAGTGTCGATGTATTGCGAAAAAATTGCTAGCGAAGACCGTTCCTCGAAGGCACGCTTGCGATCAGGTATAGAAGTTGAAATGTGGCGTTGCGAGGGTAATGTAGTCCGCGAACGAGAATCATGTATTGGTTTTCGCGGCAAAAGGATGTAAGGGAAGAGGCGCTATAAGCAAAATAGATTCAAACGCTCTCTCAATTCCAGTGGCTCCGCCTCTATACTCCGCCTCCAAGGCCGCCCTTTCAGTGGAAAAACGAAGTCGCAGGACGAAGAAACATGAAAGTCGTCACTTGCACGGTCGTAGACTTCATGTCAGGGAAATCAGCTGTGGGCGGATGCGCCCACTGCTGAAAGTACGGACTTTTAATTGGGCACGCTACTGGGATTGGATGGGGTCCTTTCCACTTTTTCGAGTTTCTCAGTAGAGCAGTCGGCATAATTTTTTCCGCTTTTTCTTCACTATCGAGTTACTCAGTACCTTGTCGTCTGTCTGCAAACCCCTAATCCACTATCTGTGATGGCTAATGGTCGCGGGCTTTGCCTATAAGTGAGGGGGGGGGGAGCGTGACCAAAACCTGCTTCGTATAGTGTGCTTGAATACCGCCGCCGTTAGGCACCGATGTGACTTGTGGCTGTGTCGAATCAGGCCCTGCCCTTTAGCTTGAACAAAATACTTCCTGTTGCTAATTGCTACTTTTTGTTGGTGGGGTTGCGCAAGTTCAGGGTGAATTTCAGGCTTTTCGGTTCCTGTTGCTACGAACGCAAAAAGTGATAGAAAAGGACGAATAGTGGCAAGAATTCTGCTCACTGGGAGCTCGGAGTCCTAGCTTAGAGTTGAAAAAAACCCAAAAATTGTAAATATCTTTCTTACCCCGTCGATTGCAAATCAGTGGGCCAATTTCGACTTCAATCGATGATGCTTTCGTGGTTCCACCGAGGAACAAGCCTGTGACAGGAAGCAGTTGAGCATAGGGGTTAATGCCCTCATCAGTCGCATCTTCACCAGAGTCACAATTACACATTCTAAAGTACAATAGGCAATAAAAAAGTTTATGATAATAATTGAATTATTCAAATAATTTTTAACAGGATAATTCAATGAAATATTCAATTCAATTCATGCACATGAAGTGCTAGTTATCCTTCAATTATCGGCATTCAATTACTCAACTGCTGGGCTGACTTGCGACTAATTCTGTCACCAAAGGCTAGCTAACTTTAACACATTCCAGACCGCCTTGTAGGAGGATCTCCACACCCTTTCGTCCCTTTTTGAATCGATAATCAGTTCTCCTGTTTCTTTCACTTTCTTATGAGTTATGTGTATTCCGTACAGAAACGTGAACTGATAACGAATGAACCCGAAAAGATGCCAAATAGACCATATGAAACAGGGCGGAGAGAAAAATGTGTGAAAGGGATGCCGATAAAGTGTTTAGTATCACTATGAAGGTGCATTCCATGGTGATATCATGGGCGGGGCTGAAGAAGTGTTTTCTTGTTGGGACCCATTTTCTAAAATGGCTAATAGGAGGCACCAATGGACGAGACCCAGTGGTTCATCTCCTATTAAACGCGTAAGCAGCGAAGTTTGTATCTTAGACATTGACTGAAAAGAGGTGCAACGCACAAGTGCGTCTTCCCGTTCTGCAGCAGATTCTAGAATTTTTGGGACCAAAACTTTTCTTGACCAGAACTTTTCCCCATTCCGAATGACTCCAGGGATTCAAGTTACTTGAAAAGTTGTCCAAAATCCCCTGCTGCCGAATTCCGGGTGGTCTTTAGTAACGAGCTAGTGGGAATTTGTTTTTTG